GTGCACGCAATTTTCAGTCTTGTGGGGCATGTTATTGAATATGTAGGGGTGGGCACGCACTGCTGGTATCACAGAAAGAGCGATAGCAAAACTCTTTCCGTGGATTGTGGAAAAGCTGCAACCGAATGACACACGAGTGTTCCATCACGCAAACATAAACGTTGTGTGAATCTCATTAAGATTTGCTATGTATATACTGTAAATCGATATGCACCGAGCCAAAAATGTCGTGCAGAGCCAAAAAACCCATAGATTGAAATTGAATTTTGGACAAGTAACATCTAATTTCGGACAAGTAAAATCTAATTTCGGACAAGTAAAAATTGCTCTTTGTTGCCCGGCAGGATAACTAGATCTAAAAATAAGCGCCGAGGTCTGGCACTCTATTATGATCATTGGAAGTGAGGCACTGTCATTGTTTTAAGTGTTGGTTCATATAAAAACTCACCCATGCGATAGGTTGTAGCACTCCACGTGTTAGTCTTCTTGCCAGTAACTAAAATATAAAATATAAAAGTAAAAAATCCATGTGTATAGTTGAATGTCATTGCTTAAAATGACAAGAGCTGAAACTGAAAAATACTTTTAAGTTCAACTGAGTGATGCGTTTGAAACCACAGCATACCGTGCCATTATAAACTGATAATAAAACACTCTTGAAACAGTTAGTTTATTGTCAAATGGCAATATTACATAGTTTTTAGTAAATAAAAGTGCAGATATGTATGACAAAGTTATGCTTACTGTTTTTTGCTTGATCTACAAGAAATTCTTTCCGGTCAGAGTCAGCTGTCCATGTCTTGCGCAGAGAGTCCGCAACAAGCTTTCCTGCACTAAGTTCAGCTTCCTGGTATAGTTTATCCAGTTCATTGCGATGCCGTCTGTTGATAATGTCGACCGCCTTGCTGATTTCACCATTTTGGTTGTCATTCAACTGTAGTCTCATTACCGTTAAACGTTTCTGAATTTTCTTCATANTGTTCGTAAGTGCGTGGGTGTGTACGTTTGAGCGCGCGTGACATGATCACGTGTATTTTATCGCGCGTGGCAGGTTTCTATCTTAACTATGTTATTCGCGATGCCATCTAACGCGGTCGTGCATCTGACGTGCGCGCGTTTGTCCAAACATGGAGAAGGAATTTGAATATTTTCGCTCGTTCGTTCGAGAGGAGGAGAAGTGAACTTTAGTGTCTAATCCCCCGTGTGCGTGTGGCCAGCGTGATAGCGTAAGACGTCGGGACTTCTGTCGCTGCTATCAAGTCCGGCTCGTTCATCTGAATAGATATGATGTGTAGTTTTTTGATTACCTAAAAGATGTGAGAAATGTGCTGTGCTGATTTTGGGTTAGAAAGCGAATCGTCTTGTTACGATTCATTAAATTCAGTAAACCGTAGAGGCGGTTTACATCGCAGCTTTTCTTAGCGAGTATATTGCAAATGGAATGACGTCTTGCGTGTGTGTGTGTGTGTGTTTTTTCGGTGGTTGTTGCTGCTGCATTTGAAATACGCCGTTATCAAATGTTCTCAACACTTTTTCTATCTTGAGAGCTTCCACTGTGAAGTGGTTTCGCGTAGGCAGAGAGGCGGGTTTTCTACGAGTGGAGGTTGTGATTTTTTTTATTTCGTTAGTGGCCTCTTAGCTCTGAACAAAACACGAAAGAACCGCTTCGTAGTCTCGCGAGTTCTGCTGTCGACGATCGGCCAGCTCTAGACTGGTTCCTTCTCTCGCGCCGGCCGTCGTGTCACACCGAGCGATTACTCGTTGCGAGTTACAGCGGTGGCAGTCTATGCTACTGATCTGGCGAGGGGAGGCTCAATGGCGTCTGCAGCGCGTTTCGAGACGGCAGACGATCTCACTGTGACGAACAAACGTCTGCTGAGAATCGGCGTCTGTGGCTATACATGCTATAGACGTGGCGGGGAATCGGCTCGTGTACGCGGCGCGTGTTCGGCGAAGGCGGTGTGTTAGACGGTCAGTCGGTGGGGACGCAGCGAGCGACATGAGCTTCTGTAATGCTAATGTCGGCTTCCATATCCACCCGACAACTACCCGCGTGGCTACGAATGCTCTATTGTTGCGCCACTTTAATGTCGTCTGCCACCCTCCCACACAGCAACTATCCGCGTGGCTACGAATGCTCTATTGTTGCGCTACTTTAATGTCGTCTGCCACCCTCCCACACAGCAACTACCCGCGTGACTGCGAATGCTCTATTGTTGCGCTACTTTAATGTCGGCTGCCACCCTCCCACACAGCAACTATCAGCGTGGCTACGAATGCTCTATTGTTGCGCCACTTTAATGTCGTCTGCCACCCTCCCACACAGCAACTACCCGCGTGGCTACGAATGTTCTATTGTTGCGCCACTTTAATGTCGTCTGCCACCCTCCCACACAGCAACTACCCGCGTGGCTACGAATGTTCTATTGTTGCGCCACTTTAATGTCGTCTGCCACCCTCCCACACAGCAACTATCCGCGTGACTACGAATGCTCTATTGTTGCGCTACTTTAATGTCGTCTGCCACCCTCTCACACAGCAACTATCCGCGTGGCTGCGAATGCTCTATTGTTGCGCCACTTTAATGTCGTCTGCCACCCGCCCACACAGCAACTATCCGCGTGGCTGCGAATGCTCTATTGTTGCGCCACTTTAATGTCGTCTGCCACCCGCCCACACAGCAACTATCCGCGTGGCTGCGAATGCTCTATTGTTGCGCTACTTTAATGTAGT